TCCCACATCCACCTTGTCCTCTCCAGCTACTTACTGGTTTTATGCACCGTTCAGTGCTTCTTTGTGTAGACAAAAGCAAACGTGGGTACGTCAGATTTCCCCACCTTTGTTAAAGCTTTTTTGTAACTGGAAAGCGTGTAGAACACCCTGTGGTCAGTGTTGTGCATTTTCGCTTCCGCAGTCTTGGAGCTCTTTCCCCTTCTGGGTGGAGAAAACTTCCTCATTCTTTCTCCAGGGTACCCTGCTTTGTGGACGGGCCGTTATTTATTTCCCCAGCTCCAGAACCATGAACGTTTGGTTTCTTTGCAGGCTTTTCTTCTTGCAGACAGTGTTGCCGCTGAGAGCACGTCCTGCCCCTTGCAGACACAAATGCAGGGTAAACTGCAGAAGAGCCTGCGGGTCAGAGAGGTGGTGCCAGATTGCCTTCCGGTCAGGGTACTGGTTCACACTTCCACCACCCGGGATGGGTGCCCCTTGTCCCACAGCCATGCCTGCAACGCATGTTGTTATATGTTTGGATTTCTGCCAACCTGATAGGGAAAAATAGTCTTTCATTGTAATTCTAATCTCCATTTCTCTCACAAGAAAGTTGAGCATCTTTCCATGTTAAGAACACATGGAGTCGTCATAACTGTTGGAATCAGTGGCTACAGGTCTGATTTGATTGGACTTTCTTAAAGCCGTTTACATTAACAGTCTTGTGCATGTCCCTTTAAGCCCTTTGCCCCTTACTCCTGTTGAGTCTTTGTGCTCTTCTTCTTTGGAGCTTGATACCTAGTAGCGATGCTGCCTCTTTGCTTCCAGAAGAGTTGCAAGTATGTTTTTCTTACAACTTTTTTTTTTTTTTTTTTTCTGGAGTTAGGGCCAGGGAGAGAAAATTTGAGCAGGGCATTTGTTACTGTTTTCAGGTCAGGGATAAAAAACCTTACAGGACCTGAGGTTGTAAGTGAAATCTCCCTTTTTCTAACATTTCATTGGTTTCTTTTCTTTTTTTTTTTTAACTCTTCAAGTGGATACAAACGAATAGATACAAGATATGTACATAGTTTAAGGCCTTCCAGTCTCCCCCACTGTTCATTTGGAGGAGGAGGAAAGGCGGTTCACCTTGAAGGCCCTGGAGTGTCCCTCCCTGTTCCCATCCCCTGCCTTCCTCACAGAAGTAACCATTATCTGACTTTTTTAACTTATCCCCTTGTTAAAGCCTTTACCCACCAAAAAACTTACTGCCCTTAGACGATTCAGATATACGGCGCCCTGTAGGACAGGGTAGAATTTCCCTGTAGGTTTTGTCCGAGGCTGTAATCTTACGGAATGTTAGCAGCTGTCAAGAAGTCAGGTGATATATTGCACTGGGCAGACCTGCTGCAAAAGACCTCTTTAAAGAGCTGAAGAGCGAAGTTGTCTCTTTGAAGACTAAGGTGCGCCTAACCCAGGCCATGGTGTCTTCAATAGTGTCCTGTGCATGTGAGAGCCGGACAATGAAGAGGGAAGGCCAGAGAACAGTTGATGCTTTTGAGTTGTGATGTTGGCAGAGAATACCGAAAATAAACCATGGGCTGCCAGAAGAATGAACAAATCTGTCCTGGAAGAAGTGCAGCCGGAATGCTTCTTGGAAACGAGAATGGCCAGACTTCACCTCACCTATTTTGGTCATGTTGTCAGAAGAGGGACCATTCCCTGGAGAAGGACGTCATGCTTGGTAAAGTGGAGGGGCAACGAGAAAGGGGAAGGCCCTCAACAAGATGGATTGACACAGTGGCTGCAATGATGGGCTCCGGTATAGCAAGAATCGTGAGGCTGGCACAGGACTGGGCGGTATTTCATTCTGTTAGGCATAGAGTCACTATGAGTCAGAGCCGACTCGGCGGTACCTAACAACAGTCTTACAGAAGCAGACTGCCACATCTTTCTTCCACAGGGTGACTGGTGGGTTGGAATCACCAACCTTTCCATTAGCAGCTGAATGCTTAACCACGGTGTCTCCAGGGCTCCTTGTTAAAGACCTTACTCATGGTTATATCAGGATCAGGCAACGTTCTGTTATATGCCCAAGTCCAATGCGAGTCGGAGCCCACTCGATGGCGTCTAACAGCAGCAGCATACATTGTTTGGAGTCCCTCAAATTCACTGCCACTGAGTTGATTCCAACTCATAGAGACCCCCGTTGGGTTTCCAAGGCAGTAAATCTTTATGGAAGTAGATTGCCCTGTCTTCCATCCATGAAGCCGCTGGGGGGTTTGAACTGCCAGTCTGTGGTTAGCAGTCAAATGCCTTAGGCACTACCCCACCAGAGCTCCTTTTTTGGAGTCCCTGGGTGGTACAGATAGTTGATGCGTGTAGCTGCTAGCTGGAAGGTTGGTGGTTTGAGTCCACCTCCATCAAGACCTTGCAGTCTGCTTCAGAAACCTCAGCCACTGAAAACCCTGTGGGGCCCAGTTCTACTCCGACCCTCCTGGGGTCACCGTGAGTCAGAATCAGCCCCACAGCAGCTGGTTCTTGTCCGTTGTTTACTGAAATGGAGACGAAGAGGGCCGAACTTGCTCACTCTCCCACCTACTTTGGTCATGTTGTCAGAAGGGGCCATTCTCTGGAGGAGGACATCGTTCTCGGTCAAGTTGAGGGTCAACGAAAAAGGTGTTGAGATGCTGGGAGTTCCCTGGTTGCTGCGTGAAGCAGTCTTCCTCATCCAGTCCTTCTCACGTCCCTATAACGCCCTCTGCACGACTGAACTGCGCCCTGTTGGTGTGGCCACTCTTCCCTTTGGCTGTTGGCTGCGCTGCTGGGGCCCAGCGTGCACCCTTCTGAAGGACTGTACCTGGGAGTGGAGTTGCTTGGTCAGGGGCTCACATGTGTTCATCCTTAGAAGATAAATGTCAAACTGGTTTCTGAAGTGGTACCAGCTCACACTCGGTCATGGCTCTCTAGCACTGCTCTAACAGCAGCGCCACCGGTGGCAGGCTTTGACGCACAGGAGTGTACTTTCTCACGGTTTAGGCGGCTGGAAGTTGAAATTCAGAGCGCTAGCTCTGGGGCAAGGCTTGCCCTCTTTGTTGGCTCTGGGGAAGGGCCTTGTCTCCTTTCGACATCTGTGGCCCCAGCATCCCTTGCAGATCTCCGTGTGTCTTGACATGAATCTTCCTCTGAGTCTAGTTGGTTCCCAACATAGGGACCCTGGGTCCAAAGGAGGCACTCGTCTCGCAGCTTGGTGATGGTCTCTCGTTTGCTCACTTCCCTTCTTTTAAAAAAAAAAAAAAAACTAAAATAAATTTTTGTCACTTCTGTTTCCTTTTATTTTTTCTAAGGTGAAAGGTGATGTAGGGAGTCTCCCCTTAAAAGCATGAGGGCTGTGGCCTGAGTAAGGGGGTTTGCATTCCACCCTAGTCCCCTTATAACTGATTGGCTGATCACATCAGATCACACCATGGGACTGATTACATCAACGCCCGACTGCCAAACCCCTGAGACTCGTGGCCCAGCCGAGCTGACACACATATTTTAGGGACACAATTCAATCCATGACATACTCCTATTTTTTTTTTTAACACGTGTGAACCTTTGCTCACTTGGGATATGTCCTGGAGCACGGTGTGAGATCCCGTGTGTTTTTCCCAATGGTAACCAGTTGTTCCAACAACACTTTCTGGCTACTCACATCTTCCGCCTGCTCTGGGATGCTGCTTTTACCCAACCCTAAATTCTGATAGTGGTCCTGCCTGCCTCTGGGCCTTCTGTTCTGCCCTGTGATGTGCTGCGACTGCATGGTTTTCATTCCTGCAGCCAGAGTCACTGTCGGCCCCAAGGAGACTCCATGTGTTTCAGCATGGCCACCCCAACCCCCAGCCCAGCTCCTCTTACTCTGGCTGGGGAAACTGAGCCAGGGAAGCAGGTGCAGTTTGGCTTGGGATCCCTTTTGTGACTCCTTAGGCTGTGGGGCAGGCCCAGGTTTTGTATGAGGGTATTTCCTTCCTCAGAGCCCCCAAGGCTGCAGGTGAGAAGCCAGGAGTGTGCTTGGAAAGAGATAGGAGAGCAGGCAGAACCCTCTTCCGTGGGCTGGGAGGCCAACGGCTGGGCTCACCGCTCCAGTCCACCACTTCTAGAGCGACGTGACCTTGGGCTGGGTCTCAGTTTTCTCATTTGTGAAATGGAAATGGGAAGCTTTCCTGCCCACATGGGCGTTTGTGCCCTGAGGGAGAGGTAGGAGGGGAGATGCCGGCCTGGAGAGAGTGCTGCTGCCTCTCCCAGGGTCAGCGTGTTGGTGTAGGGTGGGTGGGGCTGTGAGTGGGCATACCAGTTGTCATGGAGCTGACTCCAACTCCGGGAGACCCTGTACGCATCCAAGTACAACTGTGCTCCACGGAGTTTCAATTGCAGATTTTTCGGTAGTAGTTTACCAGGCCTGCCTTCCAAGATGCCTTTGGGGGGACCTGAAACTCTAACCTTTGGGTTATAGCAGCAAAGCACACTAATCATTTCCTGCACCCAGGGACTCTGGTTAGTGGGCTCTCCCCTCCGCAAGCTTGTCCTGTGGCTCAGTGTTGTCCCCATGTGTATAACACCCCATCCCCGTTGTCCCCCTCTCCTTCTCTGCACCCGTTCATTTCACCCTTCCAGTGTGACCATCTTCCATGGTGCCTACTCTGCAGGGCAGACCTCTGTCCTGCACTCTGCCCACACCCTCAGGCTCACCCTGCCTGCGTCCCTCTGAATCTGAATGGCCTGTTCTTTCTCACCTCCTTCCCTCTGCACCACTGCTGATCCCTCACCCCAGCCAGAGAGGGGCCTTCTTTGCTCCCCAGCCCCCACTGGCTCCCCTTGGACACGGTGCTGAGCCCTCTCCCCCCTTCCAGTGCCCTGCCCCGAGAGCCCCTGAGCTCCTCTGGCCAGACAGCAAGGCAGCCCAGGCCTGGCATGTGGCAGGACTCGGAAATGCTGAGTGGGGAGTCTGGGGCCACACCAGGCCAAGGGTGACACCGGTCCCTCACTTCCTCCCCTGTGAGCAGGTGCCAACATTGCATCTGGCGAAGAGGTGGCCATCAAGCTCGAATGTGTGAAGACGAAGCACCCCCAGCTGCACATTGAGAGCAAGTTCTACAAGATGATGCAGGGAGGAGGTGAGGGTTGCGAGGGGCGAGGCGGGAGCTCTCGGGGCTGTGTGTGCAAGTGTATGTGCTCACATGCAGGGGGTGGGCAGGTGGTCTGGGGGGCAGGACGGCCCCTGATGGAGCCCCCTTGCCCCACCCTCAGTGGGGATCCCCTCCATCAAGTGGTGTGGGGCCGAGGGCGACTACAATGTCATGGTCATGGAGCTGCTGGGGCCCAGCCTCGAAGACCTCTTCAACTTCTGCTCCCGCAAGTTCAGCCTCAAGACGGTGCTGCTCCTGGCCGACCAGATGGTGAGTCACCCTGCCCCTGGCCAGCTGATGGTGGGCCCTTCTCTTCCGACATCCACTTCTTGCCAGTGGCCAAGGGATCCTGCCTTGCCTCCTGCCTCCTGAGGACTCTAGAAGAGGAGGTGACAGGGACATAGGAGGGGCCTGGTTCCTGCTCTAAGGGGCCTTGACCACGGGCAGCAGGATCCCAGGAGTATTTGTTTAAAATGCAGGTGCCCAGGCCCTCTCCTACCCTGTAGAGTTGGGCTCCTGGTGGGGAGGGCCTGGGACTCTGCCCTCAGGTGACTTGCAGGCCTATGTTCACACAGGCCTGGGTCCCGGCCCAACGTGGTGACCCCAGGTGAGTTGCTGAGTGCCTCTGAGTCTCCACTGCTGTGTGGCAGAGTCTCCTCATTGTTGGGCTGAAGCAGGGATGCGTGCGCTGCCACACGGCACCTGGGCCAGAGCACACACCCAACGCCGAGCGCTCGTGAGGCCAGACCAAACCCAACCCAACCCCCTGCCGTCGAGTCGCTTCCGACTCATAGCGACCTCCATTGGGTTTCCAAGGCAGTAATTCTTTACTGAAGTAAATGACCCCATCTTCCTTCCGCGGAGTGGCCAGTGTATCTGAACTGCCATCCTTCTGGTTAGCAGTCAAATGCCTTAGGCAATGCGCCACCAGAGCTCCTTTGTGAGGCCCAGAGGCCCTTCATAAACACAAGAGAGGAAATGAAGTAACAAATAGAAACTCTAGGATTTGGACCTGGAACAATGCGTGCGAGTCGTGTGTCGGGTGGGAGGCCTGGGCTGGGACTTGGCTGTAGCCGTTTCAGCCCGAATGTGTGTGTGGAAGAGGCTCATCAGTCTCGTGGTTTGAGGTACTCAAGAATCTCGAGTCGGTCAGGAAGCTCACAGCTGCATCTGGCCAAGGGCTTGATGCACAGTTGGGAGAGGGGTGCAGGGGTCTGCCTGACTCTGGTGGACAAGCCCTGCCTTGTGTGCTCTGGAGCCCCTTGGCGCCATCCCTGTCCCCTCTGCCTGAGTTTAGGCTTCAGCATTGTTCTCTGCCTTCCCCCAGATCTAGTTGCCCCTTGATGTGGCTCTCAGAAGTCCTGTAGGCTCCAGGCAGCTCACATCGGGGCCCTGATACCTGTCTGATGTTGGCTTGCCTTCTGGATCTTGCCAATAGTTTTCCATCTTTGCTCTTCCCTGTCCTCCAAGTCCCACCTCCACACTCACATACCTCCTGTCACACAAACTTGGTGAACTCTTCCTTCAGAGTCCACCTCTAATGTCACCTCTCCCAGGAAGCCTCCCCTGACTTTCTCTTTTAAGTTTTTCCATTGCCGTAGACGAGTCTTCCTCCCCAGCCTGTGTAACCATCTCTGTGGCCCCAGCCCAGGCCCCGGTGCAGAGTGAAGACTCCTCTGTCAGAGGTTTGTGAATGACTTGCTGGCCCTCCCCCCTTCTCCCCCAGATCAGCCGCATTGAGTACATTCACTCCAAGAATTTCATTCACCGAGACGTCAAGCCTGACAACTTCCTCATGGGGCTGGGGAAGAAGGGCAACCTGGTGTACATCATCGACTTTGGCCTGGCTAAGAAGTACCGGGATGCCCGCACCCACCAGCACATTCCCTACCGGGAAAACAAGAACCTGACTGGCACTGCCCGCTACGCCTCCATCAACACCCACCTGGGCATTGGTGAGTGCACGGGTCTCAGGCACAAAATGCACCTGGGAGCTGTGACCTCGGCTTTCTAGAGCTCCCAGGCATTTTTTCCAGGGGCCCTTACTCTAAGAGAGTCCCCTCACGGGCTGCCCCCAAGCCTGCATTTGTATCAGGTCTCCCCTTCATAAGAGGAGCGGCAGTGGGCCAGCCCCATGGACCCCCCTGGGCCTGACTGCCTCCTCACAGCAGCCTCAGGAGGGATGCAGACACATCCTCTTTTGCACAGAGCAGAGGGTTAACCTGGATTGCATACTGTCGTGCAGTTTAGCTAGTGCTCTTGTGGGATTGGACCCCAGGCCTTGCTGCCCTGGCGAGGAGGCAGTAGAGGCACGTGCAGAGTCATTGAATGTATAGGTGCCTAAGCTGGAAAAAGCAGGCCCACGCTGAGTTAGAAAATCTATGGGAGGGGATAAGGACAGTGTCTGTTCACAACAGAACTACATTGAGCCAGCATGCAGTAAGGGGCCCCGTGAGGGTACGCTCCCCTCAGTCAAGGGGAACGTTCTGTAGGAGGGGGTCCTGGCCCCCACTGGCCGGGGACCTCACCCTCCCCCCAACTCTCTGCACAGAGCAAAGCCGCCGAGATGACCTGGAGAGCCTGGGCTATGTGCTCATGTACTTCAACTTGGGCTCCCTGCCCTGGCAGGGCCTCAAAGCGGCCACCAAGCGCCAGAAGTATGAGCGGATCAGTGAGAAGAAAATGTCAACGCCCATTGAGGTCCTGTGCAAAGGCTACCCCTGTGAGTAACCCCATCCCAGGCCCCAGTAGGCAGGGCGGTGGGGTGTCAGCCCTTTCCAAGGGGAAGACGAGGCCCCACAAAGCCTTAGGCAGCTGCCACTGTCTCTGGCCCCAGCACCCTCAGCACAGTGTGTCGTCACTGCTCACCTAGAGCTAGCAGGCTCGGCCCCTCCTCAGCCCGGCTGTTGTCTTCCAGCTGCTCTCTAGCCCACATGCTTGACCTCTCACGGTCAGTCTCCTGCTTTCTCTTTTTCTACTTTTTTGAGGAAAGAAGTGAGTTTTCCTCCTGTTTCTTAGTTCACTCTGGGAGGTCCTACGGGCTTTTGACGTTCTAGGAGGCTTTCGACAGCTACTGATCTGCAATGTCCATGATCCCTGGGATGTTTTGCAAGAGCAGGTGAAGGGCCATGGACTGGGTCCCTTCAGAGGCCACTTGCTCATTGTTCACAAGTCTTCCATTGCCCTCATCACGTCTTCAGAGGCTCTGCTTAGGTAGCTTAGGGTTTTGTCACCATTGGAGGACTGTAGTTCTCTCGGCCTCCATCTTGTCCCCTACTAGATTGAAAGTATTTGTAGGGACAGTGGGTGGGGAGGACAGACAGCTCTGGCTTCTGGGGACCTTGGGAGCATGGCCTTACAGTGGCCTTTTTGTCCCCTGCCAGCTGAGTTCTCAACATACCTCAACTTCTGCCGCTCCCTGCGGTTCGATGACAAGCCTGACTACTCCTACCTGCGCCAGCTCTTCCGCAACCTCTTCCACCGGCAGGGCTTCTCCTACGATTACGTCTTTGACTGGAACATGCTTAAATTCGTGAGTCTCTCAAAGGCCCAGGTGGGCTTGGGGAACTGGCTGGGGCAGGCCCTGACTCAGGTCAGAGTGACCCAGTGGCGGGCAGGGCTCCCGAGTAATGGCAGCTATGAGCTGGACAGTGAAAGTGACCTCATCAGGGTCCCAGGACCCCCAGTCCACCCCCACTCCACCCTCATCAGTGCTGACAGTGGGCACCACCGTGGGCAGCAGGGCCCAGGTAGGGCGCTGCCTCCCGCCAGAACTAGACTTGACTGGCTCGGCCTCAGGCCCCACCTAGGTGCCCCTGGCAGGGCCTGGGCGGCACTGGGGCTCGGCTTGACGGTCGCCTCTGCTGTCCTGCTCCTCCTGTTCAGTAGCTCCCGGGCGGCCCTCCCTGAACTCACTCTGGCCGGCCTGGACCCGTCCATGCTGCTTTCTGTCTTTCTGGCCATGGGCCCCTGGCTCTTGTTAGGGGGCCAGTCCGCCTCCCTCTTTTAAGGGTTCTGGGGGTGGGCTGGGGAAAAGCACTCGTCAGCCGCACCTGGAGCTTCGGAAGCCTTGAAATCACATGTCTCATTCCACATCTCTTCTGGATAAGGGGGCTTCCTCGAGCCAGGCTCAGCCCCGTGACCAAGAAGCCATTGCAGCACCCTTCCCCCACCCCCGTCCATGCTCTGGGCCCACGGACCGGCCCACGTACCGGTAAGGACCCTCTGGGGCCCGGCCTCTCCAAGACCTACTGCTCGGCTGGGCGGGCCCAGGAGGCTGAGCGTCTGCTGTGCTGTCTGTCCCTTCCAGGTGCCCGGAGCCCCTGGGCACCGAGGGCCATCCAGATAGGCCTGTGGAGGAGGCGGAAGAGGTGGAGGAGCTGCCCCCGCAAAACTACTGGCCTGTGGTCTGGACTCCGGGGCTCAGTTCGGATGTCGCCAGGTGGCAGACGGCTAGGGGATGTCCTGTGGGATGGTGGTAGTGGCCCGTGCACCTGAAAGGTGGTATGCAGTGAAGTGGGCACAGCTGGCGGAGAAGGCCCTGCCGCGGATCCTTGGGAATGAAGCAGGGCCTGAGGGCCCGGACAGGCTGAAGGAGGGTTGGCAGCACCGCTTCGGAGGGGCCTGGTGGGAGTGGGCAACAGGGGAAGGCTTTACAGTTGGAGCCGGCTGGCAGGCTCTGTACTGAACCTGAACCCATTAAAGCCTCGCTGCCCCATCCTGGTGTGGCTGTCCTTTCATAGCGCCGCCCTTGGTCTGCGTGGCGGATGCTCAGGACCAAGGCTTGTTTCCTGGGGTGCTGGGTGCTGAGGTCAGCGCTGCAGTCTCTTCTCTCTGGATCTCAGCCTGGGACCTGGTGCCACTCCTTAAGGAGAAGGGCAGAGAACAGGAGTGCTACAGGCCAAGGAAGTCAGAGGGGATCTCTGTTGCCCTCCTGTCTGGGGGTGGGGGTGGAGGACGGATGGAGAGGACCTTTCACCCCAGACCTCCAAGCTCCGAGTACAGCCGAGGGCCCAGGCACAGCAATCTTCTCTCCACGGGCACTGCCGTGGGCATTGGGGTACTCGTTCATCAGTGTAAAGTCACCACGAGCCTGGTGCTGGGTGGCCTTGACTCTCAGACTCAGTACAGGCCCAAGAACGGCCTTTGCATTCTCCAGACCCGTACCGTCCAATATGGTAGCCCCTGGCTACCATATTGAAACAAATTAAACGATATGAAACAAATTAAAATTTATTAAAATTGCAAATAAAGTTCCTCAGTTTGCAATCGCCACGATTTCAAGTCCTCAGGCTCCAGGAGTGGCTAGTGTCTCCGGTAGCCCAGGCAGACAGGAGCCTGCCTGTCGTCGCAGAAAGTTCTAGAAGGCATCAGTGCTCCAGGTGCTCCTTTACAGACTCACGTGGGACTGTGCATGGGCAAGATCATGTCTTCTCAAGCTGGGCCAGAAGCTCCCTGCCTGCCCGTTGCTGCCATTCAGGCCTCTTCCTGGAGTCCGCTTTGGGCTAGGCCCTCAAGTCAGAAGCTGGGCCAGGCTGCCAGGAACCTTACTCTGCACCATCCTCGTCTGGCTTATGGGCCACTGGACCCAGATAAGTGTGCCTCTCTGACCCCGGCAGCAGTGTGGTGACGTCAAAGCCGGCAGCCCTGTGGTAGAAGTTTCTGGAGCGTGCCAAGTGTGGGCCTTCCACAGCCTTCCCCCCGCAGCCAGACGCCTCCCATGCTGCTCTGCCCCCCAGGGGGTCTTCGCCAGCACCTGCCAGTGGCTAGGGCTCCATGCTGGGCACCGGGAGTTACACACTGCCCCTGGAAACGATCCTGTCTTCTGAGAGCTTTCCTTCTTGGAGCAGCCGCCCCCATGTCATCTGGCATTGGGGGACTGGAGAGCTTGGAGCCACTATTCAGGGTCCAGCCAACCGACCGGGAGGAAATCAACATAGCCAACCAAGGGCAGAGGGCCGTACGAGATGGGGATCCTTGCGTGACTTTGACGTTGGTCTTTTGTGCTTTACTTGTTGGCAAATAAAGGCCAAGAAGATTCCCTGGTGTGTGTTTCTTGGGGCTGTCGCTTGGGATGGATTGAAATGTGGAGAGCGGTGGAAGCCTCTGGGGCAGGTGTTGGCCAAAGCCGGGTGGGTCATGAAGGGTGGGGTCTACAATCTTCCCCTTGGCCACTGGCCCCAGAGCCATGCACTTCTGAACCAGTCACTTAGCCTCACTGAGCCTCAGTTTCCCCGACTAAGGAATGGGATGGTACCTGCTTCATAGGGTTGCTGTGCCTCCTGTCCCCAGGAGGTGTTTAGTAAATGCCACCATGGGGTTTGCTGTGGCTCTCACTGGGTCACACTTTGTCAGTCTGTGACTGAATGGGTAGGACTCAGTGAGAGAACCTAAGAGCAGGAGGTGGAGCCCTGACAGTCTCAGGCCTGGGGGGCAGGCTACTGGGTGGGAGGACCAGGAAGGCAGGGCATGGACTGTGGCAGTCAGTCGTTTGAGTGTTCCACCAAGGCAGGCCTCTGGGGGTGCAGGTAGCAGAGCAGGACATGATGGTGGAGGCCTGAATTCGAATTCCACCTCTGTCCCAGAGCTTTGTGACTCCAGGCAGGTCCCAAGTCCTCTCTGGGCCTCACTTCCTCACTAAGATTCAAGGACCATTCTGATCCCAGAGCTACTGAAAGGTGAGGGCCACCCCCATCAGTCTCCCGAGGGAAGCAGGCCTTCTCGGCCCCCTGGGATCAGATATGGGGTTGCAGGAGCATGTGCCCTGTGACCCGTGAGCAGCCCCCAACTCAGCCTGCAGCTCTCTCCTCCACAGATGCAGCCCCCCTCATGCCAGCCCCCCGCCCTTCCCCGTGGACGGCCCCAGGACCAACTAGGTAACACTCCATGTGCCACTCCTGCAGCACACTCTGCTCCAGACCTTTGTTTCCTCCTCCCTGGGGTGGCAGTGGCTGGAGGGCGCCCTTGCTCTGGCCTGCAGGTCCTCTTTCTCCTCCAGCTCCCTGAGCCCCCTCCCACCCAAGCCAGGCAGTGTGTCTGTGGGTCTCTGGGCCCCGTGGCTGTAGCCTCCCCAGCCCCTGCTAGAAGCCATTGTCCCAGGGCAGGGGAAGGACAGCCCTCTGGTGGCTGGGCACAGCCCTCCTGGGGGCTGGGCACCAGGAGACTTGGTTCAAGGCTTGGCCCTCCCTTCCAGCAGCTTTATAACTTGGGGCATGTCCTCTCCACTCTGGGTCTCTGAGCAGCTGCCTGGCTTAACTTGAAAGCCTTGAGAAGCCAAGGGCCTTATACACAATGGTCAAGGCAGGTCCCAGCCCCAGGTTGGTGCCCTTGACCATCCTGGGGCATTCACCCTCCCAGCTCTGGCTCCAGCCCCGTAAGGCCAAGCCAACTGGCCCCTCTGCCCTTCAGCCCTCTGCCTTCTCTTGGGAGGTTGTGGCTTTGTCTCTCTGGGCTGTGTGATTAGGGGTCAGGTCATTTCCAGGCCTTGCGGGTCTTGTTTTTCCCAGTCTGGGGGAAGGAGGAACTAACTGAAGGTCCCTTTTACTCGGGGTGCTCACCTGGGCCTCCAAAGCGTGACACATGTCTCCTCTTGGGTCCCACAGGGTGCAGCCCGGAACCCCGAGGACATGGACAGGGAGCGGCGAGAACACGAGCGCGAGGAGAGGATGGGGCAGCTGCGGGGGTCCGCGACCCGGGCCCTGCCCCCCGGTCCCCCCACGGGGGCCACTGCCAACCGGCTCCGCAGCGCCGCCGAGCCTGTGGCTTCCACCCCAGCCTCCCGCATCCAGCAAGCTGGTGAGCAGGGCCCCGGGTGGGGGGCGGGCGGGCCCTGGACGAGGCCTCCCGTGTGGGCCCACGCTGAGGCTGGTCCCCCTCCTGCAGGCAACACTTCTCCCAGAGCGATCTCACGGGTCGACAGGGAGAGGAAGGTGAGCCTACGGCTGCACCGGGGGGCGCCCGCCAACGTCTCGTCCTCCGACCTCACTGGGCGGCAGGAGGTGTCCCGGATTTCAGCCTCACAGGTGAGCTGCCTGCACCCCCAACCACCGGGACCTCCCAGCAGAGCCGAGATGGCTGGGCGCAGGCAGGCCTCTTGGTCCTACTCTTTCCTCACCCGTGATGCTTCAGTCACTTCCAGCCTTTTTGCCGAGCTGGCTTGACCACATGGACTCCTCTGGGGTCTCATCACCTCCATGGAGCAGAGTCAGAAATTGAGGCTCCCAGAAGTACTGTGCTCTCGAAGTGGGGCGGTACCGTGGGAGTCTGGCTCTTGCTCCAGAGGCTAGCGTGAGTGGATGCCCAGGGGCCTCAGAGATACTCAAAGTCCCTGCCATGTAGAGGCCCCCGCTGGTCCCATCAGCGCTGACAGAGTGTGGGACAGTCCCATGGCCCCAGCTAGGGGCCATGTGTGAACTAGGAAAGTCAGGAGGTAGGGTTCCTGGTTGCCCCAGGCAAGTTCGTACCCCCCACTCTGTGCCACCCTTCCCCCGCTGTAACCCCCACAGTCCTGGGAGTGGTCCCTCTGTGGCTGCTGAGTTGTGTGTGTCCTGGAGGGGCCATGTGCTCTCTCAGGGCCAAGCTCTCCTGATCTTCAAAGTCGGGACCCCCTGGGGTCGTGGAGATCCCACAACACTTCCATTGGCTCGGGGGCTTGGTGCAGGGTCCACAGTGGGGGACAGAAGCCACATTGCCACTGCCACAGCTGAGGACCTTCATTTGATCCTCATTTTCCCTTATCTCTTGTCCCCCCTGCCCCCCAAGACAAGCGTGCCATTTGACCATCTGGGGAAGTGAGGAGGAGCCACCACCAGACCAGTGTTTGCTTAGGTGAGTGTACACCTGCGCCGGACGCAGCCCCGGTCTGGGTGAGGATCGCCGTGGCCCCAGGAGGAAACCAGTGTGTGTTGTTGCGGGGTGGGGGGCAGATGGGATTAGGCATCCCCAAAACCAGGGCATCTCCTCAGCCCAGGCCTGGGCCACATGGGTTTAATTCCTATTGGAAAATCCTGTTCCTGCTCTTGGATCAGTTCTCTGTCCCTTTTACCTTAAAGAGAGGGGGCCATCAGTCCACACCCAGTCTCCCAGCTCCCAGACTCTGGGCTCTCAATCAGGGTAATTCCTGCAGGGCACTCAGAACAGGGCTCTGTGCCCCTGTGGGTTTCCTGCTGTCAAAGGTGGCCCTTGATGTGGTCCCTGCAGGCTTAGGGGGGGCTCTGGCCCGCAGGAGCCAGGTGGGCTGCATGAGGCTCTGAGCAGACATTCTGCATGTGGTTTGCTCTGTGGAAATTAGTTCCTCAGGTGAAGCTGGGGCTTAAAACTGGGCTCACCGCCTCAGCCCTCAGGCCCAGGCCCAGGCCCAGGCCCTGGCCATGTTGGGGGAGCGGTGGGAGGGAGAGCCCAGTGCTGTGGGCTGGGCCTTGAGCCAGGCTCTGGGTCCCCAGAGAGAGGCCAGTGCAGTCCTGGTCTCCGCCCTCAGGACAGGTGGCAAGCACTGAAGGGGGCTGGTTGTTGGGCAGCCAGAGGCTGGCTTGTACCTAATCTCCCCCTCCTCTTCCCTTTCCAGTGTCTTCACTGTATTTTCTTTTAAAAAACAAAAAAAGATGGAAAAAAAATCACACTCAAAAGAACAAAAGAAAAAACCCAGCACAAAACCAACGATGGAGTTTGTTTGATTGATTTTTTTTTTGGCCAACGGCAAGAAGATAGAACCCCCTCCCCATAGAGGGTTCTTGCCCCCTGCAGTTTCTGGTGCCCTGACCTTCCGGCTGCCAGACGCTCCCCTGACACCAGACTACGCGTGCCCGGCCCCACGTGGGCACCAGCTGGGCAGGGAAGGTTTCAGTGTTGAAGATGCAGCCGATCAGCCCGTGCCATAGGGAGAGGCCTGAGGAGCGGGCACAGGGAGGGGTCTGGGTGATGGAGGGCAGCAGGCCTTGTCCCACCAGGTATTCATGAGCCCAGAGCCGTGGGACACACAGGCTGTCCCCTCTGAGATGACAGTGGCTGACTTTCTGTGTTGGGCTTTGTCCATTGTCGCCCGAGCATCTGGGCCCCGTTGCCTCTCCATGAAGCCCTCATTGAGTGGGTGAAGACATAGGGGGGCTGAGTCCTTGTGCGTGTGTGTGTGTATATGTCTGCGAGCCCTATTTCCCTAGACAGCAGGTACCCCGGCCCCACCTGTCAGGCCACTTTTCTGTTCTCCCCCAGACAAGGACATGGGGATGGACAGTGACCTCCAGGTCCCTCAAGAGGAGGGCACAGAGAGTCCTCGCCACCTCCACCTCCAGACTGTCATCAGCCTGTGGCAGCCCCCCCCACCCATTCCCAGTGTTAGGGCAGAGTCCACGGAGACCACTTCTGGAAAGCATCCAGCTCTTGGGTTATAAATTCATTCTCAGGTCCTGACAGTCGCCTGGGATTGCCCCCTCCCCCTGGCTTCCGCCTCTGAGGAGGAGCCTGGGGTCAGGCTGGGGGTGGGGTTTTGCTAGCCTTCCTAGTTAACACCCGTTTTTTGTTTTTATTTTTGTTTGTTTGCTCTGTGTCTGTATTTCCTAATTTATTTACCTCTGTTTCCCCCTTTTTTTTTTTAATTAAAGAGCAAAGCTTTTTATTACTTTGTAATTTAAAAAACTGAAAAAAAAAAATACTGAAGAACTTTGGGGGGTATTTTGTACTTTTTTCCTGTGTAAATATTGGACTTTTTTGAGCTTTATTGTGGTTGTTAATTTGAAGTAATAAAGTAGAAAAGGATAAAGTGATGTGGGCAGCCCTTTGTCCGCCTCTTTGCTGAGCAGACCCAGAAAGCAGGCCTCGGTCACAGAGGATGGGACCTCAGAGACGAGAATGGCCGGAACCATTCCCATCTAAATGGCCACAGCCAGTGGGCACCTGTCCTGAGTGTCCCAGGACTGTCCTCAAACCAGTGCTTTAAAGCTCAAGTGTGAATATGCCCACCTGGGATCTCAGAAGTGCTAGGGGAGGCCTCCACCCAGGTGAGGCTGGCAGCCCAGGACCACACAGGAGCAGTAAGGTTCTAGACGCTGCTCAGGGGGTGGGGTCAGCTGCTGGAGGCCCCTAGCTCCTGGCGACCCTGTGGGCCACAGAACACAATCTGCCTGGTTGCACATTTCACTGCTGTTGATCCGTTGGGTTTTCAATGACTGATTTTTCAAAGTGGATTACCAGGCCTTCTTCCTTACCCTCTGTCTGGAAGCTCTGTGAAACCTGTCCAACATCATAGCAACACTAAGCCTTCACTGACAGACAACGTCGCTGCACATAGGGCCGGGCATGGAATCCAAGTCACCTGCCTGTGGGAGGACGTCTCCTGCCACTGAACCATCAGTGACCCCCACAGAGCCCAAGCCTTACGTGAATTTATTCACCCAAGAATTCTGTGAGGTAGTTCCTGTTTAATATCCCTGCTTTCAGATATTAACTGAAGTATTCTGGCCAGCAGTGCAGAGAGGAGAAATGACTTGCCCGAGATCTGGTGGCAGAGCCAGGGTTTGAACCCAGGTCCTATCCCAGAGCTACCCCACTGTGATCATAGGGCTCTGTGAAGAGGGCATTGAAGCCCCAAAGAGCTGTTTCCCAGCCTTTCTAGCACACAGGTGACCCTGTGCATGTTTCTTCGGTCAAGCCCCCTAAATGGCAGCCCTCGGCCTTGCCCACCTTGGTAGTGTCTGCTTGCAAGAGAATCATTACCAGTTTGCACTCATTATATTTTTCTACTTGGTACTAACTCAAGACTCAAAAGCTATGCCTGCCACACAGTTTTGCCACACATGACTCAAAAGCCATGCCTGCCTGACCAGCTGGCGAGGGGATGGGAACTTCCCCTTGGGTGTTTTGAAGTTTAAAATGGAGCCAGTTCTGTCTTGTGGGACCCCATGTGCTCCAGACTCAAACTGATCCGTTGGGTTTCCAGTTGCCATGATACTTTGCAAGTAGACGGCAGGCCTTTCTTCGCAGCCCAGTGCTGAACCGTTTGTACCACCCAGAGACAAATCATTTTGAGGTTAGATCCCTTACGGTGCTGGCGTTTGAAGACCCAGGGACCCTACGGCCTGGTGCTCCAAAGGTGGTCTTTCTCATCGGCCTAGTGTTGTTGTTGTTGTTATTTACAATCGAGTCAGACCCGAGTCATAGCAACCCCTCCTTGGGTTTCTGAGGAAGTACCACTGTGGAAGTAGATTGCCCCATCTTCCTTCTGAGGAGTAGCTGGTGGGTTTGAACCGCCAGCCTTCTGGTTAGCGTCAAATGCCTTAGGCACTACGCCACCAGAAAGTCAAACTACATGAAGAGCTATGATTAAAGACATCTTCCTAGCCCTGCCCTTGCTACAATTTTCACTGGTTTCTGCTTTATCCTTCTGTGGGTCTTATTCTGAGTTGCTGGTGGTGTAAAAAGTTAACACAGTTGCCTTCTGCAAAAAGGGCAAGGAGGCCACATGTTCTGAGGTCCTCTAATCCCACAATAGGAAGACAGAATCACCATCAATAGTCCAAAGCCTATTCCTGCCAGGCCAGACATGCTGCCTCCCTCTGGCCCTTTCTCCAACTGTTCCTCCCAAAGCACCCACCACCTCACTCCTGGGTTCGATAATTCACTGCAGTGGCCACACAGAACTGACAGATTATGGAGTTTATTAGGGAAGCACCAGGCTACAATTCAAGTTCAGGAAAAACACTCAGTCTCTCTCCCAGCCCACTGTCTCTCGGCCAAGTCTCTCACAGTCTCTCCCCCAGCAGTGCATGTCCCTCGGTGTCTTACTCAGCAACACATGTCTCTTGCATCTCTTTCCCAGCAGCACGTGTCTCTTTCAGTAGCGCGTGTCTCCTTTAGCAGCACGTATTCCTCAACCAGCAGTCAGAGCGAGTTCTGCCTCTAGGAGGCCTCCTTTTGAACCTGGCAGAGTGGTCAAACCAACCAATAATCAGAACTCTAAGCACCTGAGAAAGAGTGGGAACCTCCCAGAACTTTGCTTTGTGCCACTCCCAACAGAAATACTCCAGGTGGACAACTTCAGCAATCAGGAGCTCCTCAGTTGCTCATAGCAAATCCCACCTTGGAGTTTACAAAGACTTATGGGTAGAAAAGCCACACTAAGTAATTTACTACACCACATCTAACAAAAGGTTGGAGGTCCCAAGCACCTCGGAAGGAAGGCCTGGTGATCTGAAAAAGTCAGCCACTGACGACCCATGGATTATGGTTCTACTCTGACACGGGGTCCCGTCAACTTGACGGCAGCTGGTTTTTAACTGGTTTCTGAATCCTCACAACTGGACCAATAAGCAACATCATGTTAAATGGAGAAAAGATTGAAGTTGTCAAGGATTTCCTTTTACTTAGATCCACAACACCCATGGAAGCAGCATTCAAGAAATCAGACATTGTATTGCACTGGGCAAATCTGCAAAAGATGTCTTTTAAGTGTTAAGAAACAGAGATGTCACTTTGAAGACTTAAGATGGGCCTAACCCAAGCTGTGGTATTTTCAATTGCTTAATAGACATGTGAAAACTGGATGATGACTAAAGAAAACTGAAGGAGAGTTGATGCTTTTGAGTTGTTCTGGTGAAGAATACTGATAGTACCATGGACTGCCAGAAGAACGAACAAATCTGTCCTGGAAGAAGTGCAGCCAGAATGCTCCTTAAAAGCAAGAATGGCCAGACTTCATCTCACCTACTGTGGTCACATTGTCAGAAAGGACCATTCCCTGGAGAAAGATATCATGCGTGGTAAATTGGAGGGTCAGCGCAAAAGGGGAAGGCCCTCAACGAGATGGATTGAAGCAGTGGCTGCAATGATGGGCTCAGGTATAGCAAGGATTGTGAGGCTGGCACAGGACCGGGCAGTGTTTCGTTCTTTTGTACATAGGGTCACTGTGAGTCGGAGTTGCCTTGACAACAACAACAAGGCGCGCCTGCTCCAAGTCGTGGTTTTTTCAGTCTCGTACGCATGTGAAAGCTGGACGGTGAATAAGGGAGGCGGAAGCATTGATGCCTTTGAATCATGGTGTTGGCGAAGAATATTGACTACTCTGCCAGAAGAACAAACAAATCTGTCTTGGAGGAAGTAGAGCCAGGATACTCCTTAGAAGGGAGGATTGCAAGTCTTCATCTCAGGTGGGACCAGTCCCTGGAGAAGGACATCATGCTTGGTAAATTAGAGGGTCAGCGGCCAAGAGGAAGACCCTCAATGAGATGAATTGACGCAGTGACTGCAACAATCGGCTCAAACATAGTGAGGATTGGGAGGGTGATACAGGAGCAGACAGTGCTTCGTTCTGTTGTATGTAGGTGTTGCTGTGGGTGGGAGCTGACCCACAGCACCTAACAACAACAACAATGTATATGAGAAGGGGGAGTGGCTGACAGTCTCTGGGGAGGTGCTATTTAACCCAAGGCCAGGGGTGACCAGGATGCATCAATCATGCAAATAGTTTATTAAGAACACCAAACAACCACCCGGAAATTTTACCAGACTGGAGGAAGCAAACATGCCACCTGGTGAATCATTTCTTCTCATGCAACAAACCATTGGGCTGTGAAGGCTACCAGGTGCTAGGCTGAG